GGGAGGGAGGGAGGAATGGCCATGTGGACGAGGCGGGCGTCCGGGTTCATGGAGTGGAGGATGGCAGCCAGGCGCCGCCGGTCACTCTTGGAGACCTCGTCCTTCCCGTGGTTTAGCACCAACACCGTTGCACACTCAACCTGCCCGCATAACACGTCCGAGACGGTCCGGAAATCCTCCTCCTCCTCCTCCAACTCCTCATCCTCCTCATCATCATCATCCTCCTTCTCCTCCTCCCCTTCTTTCCCTCCCTCCCGCTCCCCCTTCTCCAGGGGGGCTGCCCCCTGCCAGTTCGCCAAAAATCCGGGGGCGTCAATTACTGTTACCAGAGAGGCCAAGTGAGCCTTTCCATCCCTTCCTCCCTCCTCATCACTCCCATGCCCCATCAGCTCCTCCCCCAGCCCGGCAGGCTCCATCCACCCTCCTGCCTCCACGTACACCACATCCAACCCCCCTTCTCCTTCCTCCTCCTGTTGTCCGTCCTCTCGTATGCGCTCTGCGGCAAGAATAACCTCCTCAACCCCTGCTAGCAACGAGTTCTGTGCTTTTCCTCCCCGCCTCCCCTCCCCGGCACTGAGTGTGCTGCAGACAATCACGTCCTCCGTACCATCATTCCCATCCAAATCCTTCAACAGCTCCCTTAATCCATCCCCTTGCGCCAGTACCACACCAACGTTAAGTCTAGTCGGTGCTGCGTCATCCTCTTTCCCCGCCGTTGGTCTCCCGCTCCCTCCCTCGTGTATCAGGTGGCGGAGCAGCGTCGTCTTGCCGGCACCGGGCAAGCCAGAAAGAAGTACCACGGGGACTGAAGTAGGCGGAGGAGTCAACGATTGATGGCCATGACTGCCATGCTCTTCGTGGGCGAATAAGGGAGGGAGGCCGTGGCGACGGAGCAGAGAGGGTGGGGTGAGGGAGGGGGGGAGGAAAGGTAAACGGACATGGTCCAAGCCCGCAGGAGGGCTAAAATAGCGACCTGAATGTTGGAAGATAACGATTGGCCATGTCTGTTACAATCAAGCAAAATAGCGTTGTCCATTCGAAGTTTAATGGACTAATGCCTTGACTTGCCTTGTAGATGGGGAGGAGAAACGTGCGGTGCGTGCAGTTGAATCAAAAACCCCGAGACCGGAAGCAGGAAGAATGATAGCAAGTCAAAGCGACCGATGCCATGGCCATGGAAGCAGCCACGTGACATGTCCCTGTTTTGAAAAATTGCATTGAAAAGCGTTGACGTTCTTCGAACCTGCATTTTTTGCAACTGGCATTGGTAAAAGCGCATCGCCGGGAGGTTAGATGCATCCACACTTACTTTTAATGTAGTGGCAAGTCAAGTCAAAACGTTTTCATGGTAATGATCTAAAGCTAGTTCAGATGCAATGTTAAAGGGGTCTCAGTGCTCTCAATAGACGTCGCCGAGCCCTTTCTCGTCAGGCAGGCCAGGCAAAAGTGCGTGAGCCCACTCCATCTTTTTATGCACGACGCAGGAACAAGAGCAGCCTCTGAATTCCAGATGCATGCGACGATTAAATTTAGTTGAAATCAAACTGTATAAAGAGGAAAGTCGCGCGAACATGGCAATGATGCACGGGGACGAGGAAATGACTTCATAAGAAGATGTCATCGGTATCGAAGCGAGGCCATCAAGCCACCAGGTGGAAGGAGACATAATATCAGTAGTTTGGCAGGAAGTGACTTCTTTTGGGTGCAGCCCACTTTACGCACCCTTTTCTCAGGCCCACGTCCTTCCCCTCCTCTCCTCCCGCGCATCTCTCTCATTCTCCACTGCTGCCCTGATTACATCAATTCTACCTCATGCATCTTTCTCTGTAATTGCCGTCAAATGATGGTCGATTTCTCCTTCTGTCAATGTGTGGAAAAAACCACCTACACCTTCCACCACGCCCACTTCGATTTCCGAGCCCTTGAAGTCCGTGGATAGCACCGACTGGAGGGCCATGATCGCGAGTTCCACCGTCTCCTCCGTCCCGAGACCCCCCAAATCCCCGACTTTTTTTTCGAGCCAATTGGTCGCCTCGTCCTGCTTCACGCCGGCAGCGGTGGCCTGACCACGTGCAATAAAGATGAAGGGGAAAAGAAAAGGAAGGCGGGTTGGTTGAAGGGAGATGATATCGAAGAAGTCTTTATGGTCCCTCGATCTGAGGGCGAGCCCTTTGCCTCCCCCCTCCTTCCCGCCCTCTGCACCTTGAAGGGGAAGAAGTGACCGGCAGGGTCTACTTTGTAGAGCTGAGGGCCCCGTTCGTCGTCCACACCCACCAGCATACACACTGTCGCCAAGGCGCGCATGGACGCTTGCTGCGTATAAACCTAGGGGGAAAAGGTGGAAGGGAGGAGGGGAAGATGGGAGGGGGGGAGGAAGGGATGCCGGAGGATTATGAGCCATGAAATGTCAACAAGGAAAAAAATCCCGCCGTGCTCTCATCTCCCACGCTTTTCCGTGTGTTTCGCTGCCTGTCGTCCCCCCTCTCTACCTGTGCGATGTCGGCGATGCGTTTGGCAAGAACGTGCACAGGGATGTCATACCCGTATTTAAACCGAAATTCGTGCGCCTCCTGCCGCAAACGGGTCACCTGGGCGCGGCTATCTGTGGTCATCCCTGTCATCACTGCGCCCACTTTGTCCGTGATTTGATAGATGTTGGACACGGAAGAGGGATCTGTGCGGAGGGTGGCGAGTCGATAGCATAGGTGAGCAGAGAAAGCCCTTTTTCATTTATTTTTTCCTCGTTAGTGTCCGCCTCCGTAGGGCGCTTATATGACTTTGAAAGCATAATTTGTTGTTTAAAAAACAAAGGCAAGCATGCACATGACAAGACTCACCAATGAGACGGTCTGGCACCTTCTTTTGAGTGACGACAGCGACGCATTCCTTCCCTCGAACGGCGACTGAAGTTAGTCCCTCACTGTTGGCGGCTTTGAAGGCGTATTCGATTTGGTACAAGCGGCCTTGAGGCGAGAAGATGGTTATGTGGTGGTCGTATTGGGAGTCTCTTCCTGACATGATGAAAAGGGGCAGGCAGTACCTAGGGGGTACTAGGATGAAGGAAGTGAAGAGGAGGGCGATATAAGCTGGCGTTTATGCGTGGCCGCACGCTCCGGAGTCAGCGCTCAGGAAGATCAGACGCGCGCTACGCGCATAAAAAGCTGGTTGCATCCGATTTTGTTTCCATCCGCTAATATGCGTGTCTTTCGTATGGTTTGCGCCAAAGGGGGAGGAAAGAAGTACACAGAAGTCTTCGGCGACGGAGGCGAGGAGAAGGAACGACAAGGAGGACAAGGAAAAAAGCCGTCCCGAAAGACTTGTGAGACCTGTCGTCCAAACAAGCGTTTCCTTTTCACAGGAGTGGATGATCTAGTTATTCTAGTACCCGTAGAATAGTGTCTATTTCTCTGCATTGGGTCTTAGGGGCACATTTCCCTGCCGAAAGTACCAGGACGGGATTTTCCGGGTAGTTTTGGGAGGAATCGATGCGAGCCGCAGGGTGCTCATATTCCAGAAACAAAAGAGAGTCGACCCAAAGTGATCCTTGAACCCTTCAGGACGTACAAGAATTCTGTTTTCTTTCCTCTAGGCCCCCCATAGTGCGCGTGACAACGCTCACAGGGTTTTGTTGTCTACTCGCTTTGTTGCATTTCCAGGAGATGTGCTGTGGCCAAGGGAGAAGTGCAAACGAGTGACACATTTGCAACCGCTGCATCTCTAGTCACACATTTTTAAAAAATGGTACTCAGTTTTCGATTAAGTGTGCGTGTTTGTGGTTTACGAAACATTTTTCTGAACCTCTCGCACACCTTATCAACGGAAAAGAGGAAGTCGGAATGTTTTGATCACTGCAGGTTGCGCACGTGTGTATTGCGGATATCCCGAGTAATTTTAAACTATTCTTTGGAAAGTTTCTAAAAATATAGACTGTGAAAAGATGCGACGAATGCCGAGATGTCTCGAGTGCCCTTTTCACCCATGGCAACCTCCCTCATGCATTGGTACAAGGAGTAGAGACTCACTCACAAATACTTTGCAAAGTTATCATCCACATAACAAACAACGACGTAAACGAATCTCGAAGAACGCATAGCAACATATTTATTGGTTCGGCACAGCCCTTCATCGGACGGTTTTGTGGTTAGGGAGGAGGGGCAAGTCAAGGGAGGAGATGTTGTTGAAGAGAGAACTTGAAAACTGCCAAAAAGACCTATTGTTATGCACGCAAACTCAAGAAAGATCTAAAACGATCTTTCTCCTGTAAAAATTTATGGACCAGCAATTTTCGTCGTCAATGTTTCGGTTTGCCGGGGAGTGCTTGCGCTTGAAAGGATTCGAAAGGGGTTTCCTGGAGCTGAGAGGATGGAAGGAGTAACGAGGATCGAGCAGATTTCAACGACGAGGAAGCGTTCAAATACCCGTCCAAATATTCATTTGCCGGTGCCAAAGTCTCGAGAGGGCTTGCATGACTTGAATTTGTCCTTTAGTAGTTTATAAATCCCAACAGCCCGAGTTTTCGTTCCCCCCCGCGGGGTTTCCAAGATCTGCGCGTCTTTGCTCTCTACCTCCCTCAATGCTTACTTTCCTATGCATACCAACACAGTATATCTTTTGGCCCCCATCATGCAAACCGAAGAAACATTGAAGGAACGAAATGTCGTGGGACAAGGTGCAAACCCTACAACAGAGTCAAGGGGCTGTGAAACATCTTCCTCATCTATCCCTCCTTCACCCTCTTCACCGACCCCTTCCTTGACTTCCACGATTCCCTCCTCCACCTCCTCCGCCGGCGCCAGCGCCGCGGCCACTTCATCATCTTCTGCATTTCGTGATTCTTCTATTTCCACGTCCGGCTCCCATGGAAAACCCAAGCGTCGTCTGTCCGCCTCTCCCACCAATGCGGGCGGGGACCTCGACCAGGTTGGGAGCCCGGGCATGGAGATGGACGCCAAGGAGGGAAGTCACAAAAGACCCCGCCTGGACCCTCCCGAACACACGATGGAAGGCATTGAGTCTCCTCCTCACGGCGCGGCCGGACCACTAATAAGGCCGCAAATCCTTTCTTTGCCAACATCCTTACCTGCCTCCTCAACGTGCTCAGTCTCTTTGCCACCAACGCCAGCGCTGCCATGCCCTCCTTTCTCTGCCGCTTCTCTCACGTTTGGGGGACAAGAGGTCGGGAAAGGCGATGAAGCTTGCATGGTAGGCTCGATTCAAAGACACCGTGAACACGGAGAGCGAGGGAGGGGAGGAGGGCGAGAGGTGGGTAGGGTCGAGGAAGGAGAAGAGGAGGTAACGCCCCACATCACCTTAAGAGCAGGAGGAGGAGCGATGGCGGGAAGATTGAAAGAAGGGAAAACAGGGGAGGGGATTCGATCGGCAGCAGCAGCACGTGGAGGAGGAGGAGGAGGCGATGGAGCAGATGGAGGAGGAGGAAAAGGAGGAGGAGGAAGGGGAGGCATCGA